TATCCGATTTTGTTGAAACTTGAAATGATAGTTTATAACACAAAGATCTCAGTTCCTTTCGATATTCGTGCATATAGAATTGTAATTTCCTGAATTATGGCCCTTGATAGTAGGAAAAATCACTTTCTTGTTAGCTTGTTCTCTATACATCTCTCGAAAATGTGGGCGTATCCTGCCTGTCAGCCGCTGGTTAGTTTGTGGACTCCATAGAGACGTGTGAATATATCACCGTTACACCCTAAGGATGGTTGAGCTTGAATTTCGGACCGAAACTGACGGACAAAATGACCCTCGATCGCAAATAGTGTCAAAATATTGCGTATCAGGGTTGTAGACCCTCTGGAGGTCACAAATTTCATATCGAAGCATAACTTCCTGAATAGGCCCCTGATTTTACGAAAAATCGTGTTTTTATCTTGTGGACCCCATAGAGGTCACAATTTTTATCCGATTTAAAAAAAACGTTTGGCTATATCACCGTTACACCCTATAAGGATGGTTGAGTTTGAATGTCGTAAAAATCGAACTGAAACTGACGGACAAAATGGCCGCCCCTCATTCACAAATAGTGTCAAAATATTGTGTATCAGGGTTGTGGACCCTTTGGAGGTCACAATTGTTATCTAATTTTGATGAAATTTGAATTGCATGTTTATAACCGAAATATCTTGGTTCCTTTCTAATTTAGTGCATATCGAATCGTAACTTCTCGAATTATGACCCCTGATTTTACGAAAAATCGCATTTTTAGCTTGTGGTCCCTCTAGAGGTCACAATTATTATCCGATTTAAAAAAACGTTTGAATATATCACCGTTACACCGTAATTTTGTCTGAATATGAGTTTCATGAAATTGGATCAAAATTGCCAGACAAAATGGCCGCCCCTCGTACGCAAATAATGTAAACATCTGCTATATCAAAGTTGTGGACCCTTTATGCATCTGTGTGGCGCTTACAGACCGCAATTCTTAATCATTCGTCCTGAAAACTTTTCATACTTATTCCTTATACCCTAAGGATGACCTCTTTTATTTTTGGTGCATGCCCGACCCCCTAGGACAGAGCCACGCCCAAATTTTGTGTGTCTAATGTTTCGCCTACAGGCCGCAATTCTTAACAGATCCTTTTAAAACTTTGCATACCTATTCCTTATACCCTAAGGATGATCCCTATTGTTTTTTGGTGATTACCCAACCCCCAGGAGCAGAGCCAAGCCCAGTTTTTGTGTTCAATGTATACAGCCCACAATTCTGAATGGATCAGCTTGGTACTTGGCATATGTATTCCTTATAGCCTAAGGCCACAATTCTGTATGGGGTATCACGGTGGCTTAGAGGGTAAGACGCTGGCTCGCTAGCCTGGAGGTTGGGTGTTCAATCCCTGCATTGGCCGAGAAAGTTCATCCAGATTTTCTGGTTTCCCCTTGTCAGTGATGCAGGATGGAGGTCCTGACAAGGACAGCTGTCTAGTCGTTCAGATGGGACGAAAAACTGAGGTTCCGTGAACACATTGGCGTCCACGTAAAAGATATAAGTGTTGGCAAAATTTCCCTCATAGCACACTGTATGGCGTATGCCCGTCTTCATTAGCCCAGTTTAGGAGCGGAACAATAGGACATTAAACCCCATTTCATTTCATTTCACAATTCTGTATGGATTATTTTGGAATTTGGTATACTGCAATTCTGAATGGATCATCTTGGAACTTTGCATATTTGTTCCTTATACCGCAAAGACAACAACTATTTATTTTTGTGCACGCCTCGACCCCTGGGTCACACCCACTTTATTTTTTATAAGCCCACATTTAAATGTGGTCGTATATTGTCGTCGCCCCCGTCCGTCCGTCCGTCCGTCCATTAATATCCGATTGACTTTATACACAGTGTTTAAGGTCATTAGACGAAGAAGCCTATTGATTTTCAGCTATTTCCGATAATTACTGCCAGAGTTATGGCCCTTGATCACTTCAAAAAATCTTGTGGACTCTCTAGAGGCTAAAGTTAATAACCGATTGACTTTAAATTTATACACAGTGTTTAAGGTCACGAGACGAAGAATCCTATTACAGCTAGAGTTATAGCCCTTGATCTCTTTGAAAAATCTTGTGGACGCTCTAGAGGTCAAAGTTAATATCCGATTGACTTTAAATTTATACACAGTGTTTAAGGTCATGAGACGAAGAAGTCTTGATTTTCAGTGATTTCCAATAATTACTGCCACAGTTATGGCCCTTGATCACTTTGAAAAATCTTGTGGACGCTCTAGAGGCTAAGGTTAATATCCAATTGATTAAATTTATACACAGTGTTTAAGGCCATGAGAAGAAGAAGCCTATTGATTTTCAGCGATTTCCAATAATTACAGCTAGAGTTATGGCCCTTGATCACTTTGAAAAATCTTGTGGACGCTCTAGAGGCTAAAGTTAATATCCGATTGACTTTAAATTTTTGCCAGAGTTATGGCCCTTGATCACTTTGAAAAATCTTGTGAACGCTCTAAAGGCTAAAGTTAATAATATCCGATTGATATTAAAGTTATACACAGTGTTTAAGGTCATGAGACGAAGAAGTCTATTAATTTTCAGCGATTTCCGATAATTACTGCCAGAGTTATGACCCTTGATCACTTTGAAAAATCTTGTGGACGCTCTACAGGTCAAAGTTAATATCCGATTGACTTTAAATTTATACACAGTATACACAGAACTTTATAAAAACCGAACAAATTCTAATATTTTCTGATAATTACTTAATGAGTTGTTACTCTTAATCAGATTTGAATGTATTATAAATGTTTCATTACCAAAAAAAGTAAAAATATGCGACAACTCTTGTTGACTGCCCGGACGATATAGCTGCTGTGGGCGTATGTTTCGTTGCCTGGCAACCTATCTTTATGACTTGGAACAGCTAAATCCATGATATTAAAAGTTTTGTATACAAAACGTTAGCATGGGCAAAACTTTATAAAAAGCAAACAAATTTTAATGGTTTTCTGAGTTGTTGTTCTTAATCAGATTTTAGTGTATTATAAATGTTTCATTACCGAAAAAAGTAAAAATATGCGACAACTCTTGTTGACTGCCCGGACGATTTAGCTGCTGTGGACGTATGTTTCGTTGCCTGGCAACCTATCTTTTGTTAATATCTTGTCTGTAAATTTGGCAAAATAACCCAACGCCTAACCTTCTTTGCCTCTTGTCATATTATAGCCATTTCATATTTCATTCTCTTCATTTTGAAAAATACCATATCAATCAAAGCAGGAATGTGGACGTATATTGCAGCGTTAGCGATGCTCTTGTTAACTAATATAGCGAGAACTGTCGGCTCTTTATCTAATCTTACCCAATGCCCCTTTTAATTGAATGATTAATGAATGAATGAAATATTGAAAGAATGAAATACAAACGAATCAGAAATTTATCACCATTATTTATAATACTATATAACATCAAAACTCATTTTCACTTTCAACTACCTATTAAAGTTTCAACAAATTTGATGATTTGAAGAACAATGTTAGTATTTTCATTTGAAAGACTCATGAAAACTCTAAAAATGTTTAAAATTATTTAAATAAAAGTAGACATGAGGTGAAGATTAATTTTAAAATATATCTAAGCGTGTAGGTTTGTTCTTTCAGTCAGCATACACTGTAACATTGGTACCGTTTAATCTAGCGTAAAAAGCGTTAATTTCTACTCTGTGTCCAATTATGCATAAATATGGTTGAATTTGGCGAATAGTGCTCAATTTGTACTTGTATCGAATTTCAATCTCACTGTTGATTACCAAGCGTTTAATTAACTAGTGTTTAGTTTCTCAACACGTGTTGAAGATTCACCACACGTGTTGAATTATAAGTGTCTCGTCTAATTAGCACGACTGTTCAATAATTAGTTGAACCGTTCAATTTCCCGAGCCGTGATTAAAAGCGGTCAAGGTGTCCAATTACGCAAGGTGTTCAATTTTGTTGTCAAACATCTAATTTCACCTGCGATGTTCAGATATTACGATGTGTTTAGTTGTGGGTCATCGTTCAGTTTTGCCGTCGAATGTCTATTTTGCAGCACGATGTTGAAATATTGTAATAAGTGTTAGTTTTAGTACTGACCTGTTGCGATACGGTGAAATATTGTTTTTCAAGATTCATACGAGGACAGGTATCTGTAATGCCTGTCATTATCCGGGGATTATTTTACAAGATCACAACAGTGATTTTGATGTTGGATTTTTAATGGCGACGGAACGGTTCCGAAGCAAAGCTTTCTTGAGATGCACATACGTCCACAATCATAAAACGTGTATTTATATATCCATTTAAGACAGTATTTCCCACACTGACAACACATCCACGAATGATAAATCTCACGCATCTGATTTACGTGTGTACACGTCGACTCCCTACCCTGATTAAATCCTTTTGTTTAAATGTCTTCGCAATTAAGACTAACAGCATGGGTATTTCACCAATCATATATTACATAATATGGGATCTATAGAAAGCATTTTGGGTTGAAGGGTAGTGCGATTATCTGGGGAAATAAACACAAGGCTTGTAGAATTAATACACATGTGTCAAAAGCTAACAATATGTCTATTGTGTAAGACAAAACGTGAAAATAAACTAATAATTTGATATGTTGTACAATATAAGCACTTTACTTTTCATTGCCAAGGCTGTAACTTTAGGTAGTGTGCTCTTTATTGTAGTAGAATATTTCTTGGTCTGGCCCCTTATCTTCGTAAAATTAAAAACTGTTATTAATCTGTGTCATTATGAAATAGTTCCTTTCATTTATTCCGACTATGTCAATCCATATTTGTATTGGTTTGGATTTTAATTATTTTTTTTATCTATACTGCTTCCTTTTCAGCCCATGGCACCGTTTGAATTCATTGCAATTAGTCTAAATCATTATAAATGAGTGTTTTGGTGAAGTTTGATACAAACATTTGTTGCAAATAGTTATATTTGAAATTTATATTTTTAGGTTATGAAGACATTAATTATTTTTACCGAATTTAGTGAAAATAGTTGACACAAAATTAAACAAAATATGGCTGCTCCTTCTTCCTGCTACAGTCCAAAACCATTGGTAACAGAGAAACCTCCTGATGGTAGTATCCAGTTTACCATAATGAAATATCCTAAAGAAGCTTTTGAAGTAATGACAGTCTTACAACGCACAAATAATTTATGTGATGTTACTTTAGTTGTTGGCGAGGAAAAGTTTTTAGTGCATAAGATAGTTTTAGCAGCAGCAAGTCCCTATTTTCGTGCAATGTTTACAGGTGGTATGCGAGAAAAAGATATGGATTTGATTCCATTACATGGAATATCTCCATGTACACTCTCAGGTCTAATAGATTTTGCTTATACAGCTGAAATACGTATCAACGAATTAAATGTTTGTTTCTTACTTCCAGCAGCTACTATGTTTCAAATGACACATGTTGTTGAAGCTTGTTGTTTGTTTCTAGAACGTCAGTTAGACCCTAGTAATTGTATAGGAATATCAAATTTCGCTAGTGAACATGGGTGCTTAGAGTTAGAAACCAAAGCTCGAACATTCATTCATAAAAATTTCTGTGAAGTTATCAAATGTGAGGAATTTTTGATGTTAAGTCCATGCCAAATGATCAATCTTATTAAACAAGATGAACTAAATATCAAATGCGAATCTGAAGTATTTCAAGCAGTTATTAGATGGGTTGAAAACGACCCCGAAAAACGTCTTCTAAAACTAGAATCATTACTTGGTGCAGTGCGGATCAATTTTTTGTCACCTTTATTCTTGGAATCCCAATTAAATAGTTGTAAAATTCTAAAGAAAATGCCTCAGTGCCTCCAAACTTTGTCTGAAAAGCTGAAAAAATTAAAACTGCACGAGCAGTGTCCAGAAAGGCCTCGTCGACCTTGTTCTCCATTAGTTATATTCTGTGCTGGAGGATATTTAAGACAATCTTTAAGTAATTTTGAATGTTATAATCCACACGCTAATCAGTGGCATAGATTACCTGATTTGCCTGTACCTAGAAGTGGACTATCAGCGTGTTTGGTTAAAGGATCTTTATATGTGGTAGGGGGGAGAAATAATTCACCTGATGGTAATATGGACTCAGGATCAACAGATATGTATGATCCTATGAGAAACATGTGGATGCCAAGGACACCTATGAATGTACCTAGAAATCGTGTTGGTATAGCTGTTATAGATGGAATGATATATGCTGTGGGTGGATCACAAGGTCAACAGCATCATTGTTCAGCTGAGAGGTTTGTTTTTTGCTTGATGACAGTTTTGTTGTACATTTTTATACACCCACATGGAAGTGTGGTTGAATATTGCCTTCGTCTGTAAGTACGTCTGTCTGTCCATACGTCCATCTGTCCGTCCATTGTCTACAGTTTTTGTGAACACTCTACAGACTACATTTATTATTTGAAAGTTATATTGTTATGCTGTTTACATTAGTGAAACGAAGAAGCCTATTTAATTTCAACAATTTCCGTTAATCACTTCCAGAGTTATGGCCCATGTTTCACTTTGTTGAACCTTGTGAATACTTTATCGACATAAGTTGTCATCTGATCTGTATGAAATTTATATTCGTTTTGTAGATCATTGAAAAAACGAAGACGCCTATTGAATTTCAGCAATTTCCATTGATAACTTCTACAGTTATTACCCTCGCTTCACTTTGTTTAGCCTTGTGAACACTCTGTCAATGTAAATTATTTGATCCGTATTAAATTGATATGCATTATTGAGAGGCCTATTAAATTTCAGGAAATTCTGTTTAATTACTTCTAGATTTAGGGCCCTTGTTTCACTTTGTTGAACCTTGTGAAAGCTCTATCGACGTAAGTTATCATCCAATCTGTATGAAATTTATATGCATTATTGAGATCAGTACAACGAAGAAGCCTATAGATCAGGGCTCGAACTAGTGGGCGAAATAGTCGCCCAACCACCGCTGATTTCTCCCTCCAAAGAACCTAGGGCGAAGTTAAAGTCGCCCTCGTGTTGCCATTTATTTATTGAAGAGCAAAGTTATTCTGGAGACATATTTACCGTACATAAACAAACACGTGTGACTCAATATGCCAAAGTTGTGGCCCTTGATCACTTTGTGACGCTCTAAAGGCTAAAGTTATCATCCGATTAACATCAGATTTATACACAGAGTTTAAGATCTTGAGACGAACAAGTATATTGATTTTCAATGGATTTTTATGTCTTGAACAGCTAAATCCATGATATTAAAAGTTTTGTATACAAAACGTTAGCATGGGGCAGAACTTTATACAAACAAACAAATTATAATGGTTTTCTGATAATTACTTCATGAGTTGTTGCTCTTAATCAGATTTTAGTGTATTATAAATGTTTCATTACTGAAAAAAGTAAAAATATGCAACAACTCTTGTTGACTGCCCGGACGATTTAGCTGTTGTGGGCGTATGTTTTGTTGCCTGGCAACCTATCTTTATATGAGAAACTAGGCAAAGCTATTTTAACTGTTATGTTAAAGATAATTTAAATCCATTTAAAAACAATAATAATTCAAAATATAGTCAAGGAATCTAACTATTATGTCTCCATTAGAAACTCTTACTCCAAAAATTGTAGCCAATCACCAATGACCCCATTAAACATGGCGGTAGATACAATATTTTCTAATAATAATAATAATGAAAATGTTCAATTAGTTTTATGAAATCAGAAATGGCATAAGGCATCACATGGTGAAAATTTTATGTAAATCGAATAATAATTGCCACTTTTATCGACCAAAAACCTTGAAAAATGACTTGTAGAAAATCGTCTATTTCTCTGCAACCATACAAGTAAGAAACCATTTTCTGGTATCTGTATGATCGTATGGGTTTAATCTATTTGCTGATTGGAATCAAATATCATAATTTTAAAAACATTACAAATCAGCCTCATTTGAATAAAATATCTGTTTTGAAGGCTAAAAATACAGTTTCTGCCAAAATGATGTTACTTCCGGTGATAATGAAAATCTTAAATTACTTGTATGAAATCATATATGGCATTAGGTATCACACAGTGAAAATTTCATGAAAATCGAATTATAATTCACACTTTTATGGACAAAAAACCTTGAAAAGTGACCTGTTGAAAATTGCCTATTTCTCCGCAACTGAACAAGTTAGAAACCGTTTTGTGATATCTATATGATCGTATGGGTTCATTCTTTTAGTTGATTAGAATCAAATATCAAAATCTTAAACAAACAACAAATACGACTCATTTAAATAAATTATTTGTTTCGAAGGCTATAAATACAGTTTTTGTCCAAATTTCGTTATTTCCGGTGACATTGAAAATGTTAAATTGAGTTGAACTAGTCACAATTGACATTATACATCAAATGGTGTCACTTTTATGACAATCCAATAATAATTGACTTTTTTACAGGCACAATAGCGTAAAGAGTGACTCATGCAAAATTGACCATTTCTCGGCAACTGCACATATTACAAATTAATTTTCACATACATTCTCTCCGTATAGATTATTGCTACGAGTTTATGAAAGTTACGAAGCAATATTTTAAAATATGAAAACCATAGGCGTACGGGGAAATTTTTGTCTGGGGGGGCGGTGGTGGTTGGTGCCCAAAAGGGGATCACGTGGCTAAGTGGGTAAGACGCGAGGTCGGGTGTTCGATCTCTGCATTGGCCGAGAAAGTTCACCCAGATTTTCCGGCGTGGTTCTCCCTTGTCAGTGATGCAGGACAGAGGGCCTGACAAGGAAAGCTGTCTAGTCGTTCGGATGGCATGAAAAACCGAGGTCCCGTGTACACATTGGCGTGCACGTAAAAGATCCCTTGGCAGTTGGAATTCGATATAAGAGTAGGCCATAGTGCCGCTGTCCGGGCAAAATTTCCCTCATAGCACACTGTATGGCGTATGCCCGTCTTCATTAGCCCAGGTTAGGAGCAAAACAGTAGGACGTTAAACTCCATTTCATTTCATTTTGGTACCCAAAAAATGTAGTTAGGTTCTTAGTATGTTACATAATAATAATAAATTTGCTGTTAAATTGGACACATTCAAGAAGACAATATTTTTTTTATACAAATTTTACAAAGTACAATTGTGTGCCCAAATTTTCCCAGCATTTGGTGCCCAAAATGGGGGGGCGGCCACCCCACCAGCCCCCCCCAGCTCGTACGCCTATGATGAAAACGCTGGAAGGGTTGTAAATAGCTTAATTTTACACCTTTTTATACGCCCACATATTCATGTGGACGTATATTGTCGTCGCCCCTGTCCGTCCGTCCGTCCACAATTGTTTGTGAACAGTCTACAGGCCACAATTTTTATCCGATTTCAATGAAACTTGAAATATAGGTTTATCACCCTAAGATCTCGGTTCCTTTCGATATTGGCATCTATTGGACCATAACTTCATGGATTATGGCCCCTGATTGTACAAAAAATCACGTTTTTGGCTTGTGAACACTGTAGAGGTCACAATTTTTATCTGATTTTGTTGAAACTTAATATGTAAGTTTATAACCCAAAGATCTGGGTTCCTTTCGATATTCGCGCATATCGGACCGTAACTTCCTGAATTATGGCCCCTGATTGTACGCAAAAACGTGTTTTTTGGCTTGTGGACCCTATAGAGGTCATAATTTTTATCCGATTTAAGAAACCATATTACTATATCACCGTTAAACCCTAAGGACGGTTGAGTTCGAATTTCGTGAAAATCGGCCCAAAACTGACAGACAAAATGGCCACTGTTCGTTCTCAAATAGCGTAAAATTATTAGTCGGATTCGGTTTGTTACATAATTCCCATCCGTCGGCTTTTCGGGTAGAAATCATGGAATAAGCTTTATTTTGTAGGTTTTGATGTTTGATTACAAAAAACCAATGTTGACATTTTTTCTGAGTAGGTCTTCATAGTATGGGATGCCATTATTTGAGGGTAGCCATTTTGCGATAAAATTCCAAATTATTTTATTATTTTCACCTTATTTATAATGTTATCGACATATCAACTGTGATTTGGCAATGTATTGATATTGGCAGGATTCATGACTATACTTCAGATTGTTTTCCATCATTTCAGTATGATATTTCCAAGATGGCGACCATTTTTAGCGGGAAAATCGGACGATGTGCTGATTTCGATTAAGTAGTAGTGCTTGGTGTCAACATATATGTTTTCGGGGCCACAGATTCCATTCCTGACATTTACAACCTTGTAAAATGATCACATGTTCATATACTTAGCATATTTCCAAGATGGCGGTCATTTTTTGGCGGAAGAATAGGACGATGTGCTGATATTGATTAAGTAGTCGTCGTTGGTGTCAATATATATGTTTTGAAGGGCACAGAATCCATTTCGGTCAGTAACAACTGTGTAAAATGATGTAAAATGATTATTTTACACATTTACAATATGACGGCCATTTTTGGCGGGAAGATGGAACAATGTGCGGATAATGAATAAGTAGTCGTCTATGGTACCAGGATATATTTTTGGGGGAGCAGATTCCATTTTTGCCGTTTACAACTGTGTAAAATTATCACATGTTCACATATTTAGCATATTTCCAATATGGCTTTCATGTCAGGCGGGAAAATGGGACGATGTGCTGATTTTGATAACGTAGTCGCGTTTTAGTGTCAATATTTGTTTTTTGGGGGCGCAGATTCGATTTCTGCCATTTACAACTGCGTGAAATGGTGGTATGTTCACACATTCAGCATATTTTTGTTTGTGGCAGGACGTTTTCTAAACACATTACTGTAAAGGTTTCTGAATCCAATTCTGCTATGTATAAGCTTGTAGCATGTTCCTGGAAGCCTGTGTCGAGTTTACCCATTAGGTATAATATCCAACAATGTAGTAGTTGAAATCCAGCGCAATATCATTCAACATGTTCGTTCTACATTCATCTTGGAAGTCAGTTGATAACATAATCTATGCTATAAGGGCTTCTTAGCAAGTATTTCATTTACAGCCACGTCCCCACAACTATCATTCACGTTGCAGCCAGGCTGGAACGAAGCTCCTGGCCATATGCTTGCTACGTCGTTACGACCTTTATGTATATATAGGGAAGATACTGAGCCTCACCCATCAGCTCCAGTCTAGCAACCATATAGGAAACCTCAAGAAAACTATTAAATGTTCTTGATTGCTTGACTATTGGTTGTTTTCTGCTTTGAAAGTGGATGAGGACGGGTGAGCATGGCCCAGTCTCCATAGGCGTGATGAGA